TCTGCAACAGTCTCATGTCAGCCCAGATTCTTCCCAATCTCTCATGGCTTCTGCTCATTTTGCTGGTAGGATTGCTACTCACAGTGTGTTACTTAAACTTGCTTTATTTTCACAAGTAGACAGTTCAGATTGGATTCTTGATTCTGGGGCATCTGATCATATGACTTCTGAAAAGTCTCTTCTCTTTAATCTACAACCTCTTACTATTCCTTGTCTTGTTTCTTTTCCTAATGGATATAAAGTTAAGGTTACACTTACTGGATCTTTGACTTTGTTTTCCAATTTCACTCTTCACAATGTCCAATATGTTCCAACTTTCCAGTATAACCTTATTTCTGTTTATCAGCTAGTGGCACAATTTGATGGCATTGCTCAGTTTTCTAAGGCTGTGTGTGTCTTACAGGGCCCTTCTTTGAAGAAGCCACTAGCTCTTGGTAAATTGGACAAAGGCCTATATAAGCTGGGCATTACTCAGTCAACATCCATGCCATGTTCATCTAATTCTGTTGTTTCTTTTCCTATTATTGATGTGTGTTCCCCTGATTCTATTTTTCCTGTTGATCCTGTTTGTAATTCATCTCATTCCACTATTAATAAAATGGATGTTCTTTGGAATTTTAGACTTGGACATGTACCTTTTTCTAAGATGAAACTCATTTCTGATATTAGTTCTTGTCTCTCCCCTAAGCAATCCTTCCCTTGTTCTGTCTATCCCTTGGCCAAGCAAACCAGGTTACTCTTTCTTGATAGTTCCATCCAATCTTTTTCCCCTTTTCAACTAATCCCTGTTGATACTTGGGTCCCTATCATTCCCCCACATCAGTTGGTGCCAGGTACTTCCTCACTATAGTTGATGACTACACTAGGGCTACCTGGACCTATCTTCTTGGTTTCAAAAGCAGTGCTTTTGACCTTCTTAAGGCTTTCATAGCTATGGTAGATACCCATTTTTCTTCCAAGGTTCAAACTATTAGGAGTGACAATGCTTTAGAATTAGGTTCCTCTATCTATGGTTCCAAATTTTTAGCTGAGAAAGGCATCATCCACCAGACTTCTTGTCCAAACACTCCTCAATAAAATGGTGTTGCTGAAAGAAAACATAGACACTTGCTTGAAACTGCAAAGCTTTGCTTTTCCAATCCAGCTTGCCTACTTCTTTCTAGGGTGATTGCATTCTCACTGCCACTTATCTTATCAATAGGTTCCCTTCTCCTCTTCTCCATTACAAAAGCCCTTTTGAACTTCTCTATGGGAAGCCTCCTTCCTATAGCCATTTGAGGTCCTTTAGATGTATATGTTATGCCACTCTTCCTAAGGTCTATAGAGACAAGTTTAGAGCTAGGTCTGTCCCCTGTGTTTTCATAGGCTATCCCTTTGCTAAAAAGGGATATAAGTTGTATAATCTTGCTTCCAAATCTTCTTTTGTGTCCAGAGATGTTATTTCCATGAGACCATATTTCCTTTTGCTCAACCTTCCTCCATTTCTCCAATTTCTTCCTCTATTTCTCCTGTATTTCCTTCTCAGTCCTCTCCTGTTGATGTCTTTCCTTCTGCTACTCCTTCCTTCTCTCCCTCTAGTCAGACAAGTGATGAGGCTCTTCCCTCAGCTTCCCCTCCTCCTTGTGATGGTTCTCCTTCTTCCTCCTCTCCCTCTTCTACTGCTTTGCCTTCTTCTGCTCCTGCCTCTTCCTTTCCTTCTCCTCTTGTCAGGAGATCCTCCAGGCCTCACAACCCTCCCAGCTACCTCCAGAACTATGTTTGCTCCTTCTCTTCTTGTTCCAGGACTGCTGCTTCTTTATCAGCTGCTCGTGCTCTTTCTATCTTTGAACCCCAGTCCTATTCCCAAGCTGTCCATGTCCCTGAATGACAGGAGGCTATGAGGCAGGAATTTGGGGCTTTGGAAGCCAATGGCACATGGTCTGTCATGCCTTTGCCTCCTGGTAAGAAGCCTATTGGGTGTAAGTGGGTTTATAAGATTAAATATAAGGCTGATGGCAGTGTTGAGAGGTTTAAAGCTAGATTGATGGTTAGGGGGACACTCAGGTAGAGGGTGTTGATTTCCAAGAGACTTTCTCTCCTGTTGTCAAAATGTCCACCATTGAAACTTTAGTTGCTCTTGCTGTCAAAAGACAGTGGCCCCTCTTTCAACTTGATATCAATAATGCCTTCTTGCATGAGGACTTGGATGAGGAAGTTTTCATGAAGCTTCCTCCTGGTTATTCTGTTCCCTTTTCATCTGGTTCTGCCCAATTGGTATGCAAGCTTCAAAAATCCCTTTATGGCTTCAGACAAGCTTCAAGGCAGTGGTGCTAAGCTTTCTCAGGCCCTCACTTCTCGAGGCTATTCTTCTTCTCTCAATGATTACTCCCTCTTCATTATGGGTTCTGGTGCTTCTCTTGTGATATTGGCCGTTTATGTGGATGACATTGTGATCTCTGGGGCTGATTCTTCTGAAATTTCTGCTGTTAAGTCCTTTCTCCATGCTCACTTCAAGATTAAGGAATTGGGGTGCCTTACTATTTTCTGGGTATTGAGGTCCATTATTCAGATTCTGGGGTTTTCCTTCATCAGAAGAAGTTTATTCTTGTTCTATTGGCTGATTTTCATTGTTCAGATGTTTCTCCTGTTCTTTGTCCTCTTGAGTTGTCTGCCAAGCTTAAAGCTCATGAAGGTGATCCCTTACCAAAGCCTGATGTGTACAAATCTCTTATTGGGAAGTTGAATTTTGCTTACTCACACTCGGCCTGATATTTGTTTTGCTGTTCAACACCTTAGTCACTTTATGCAATCCCCTTGTCTTCCTCATATGCAAGCTGCCCTTCATGTGCTGAGATACCTGAAGGGTACCTCTAATTGTGGGATTTTCTTCAACAATTCCTCTGATCTGTCTTTAACTGCTTACTGTGATACTGATTGGGCTGCTTGTCTTGACACTAGGAGGCCTGTGAGTGGCTATTGTGTGTTCTTGGGTGGCAGTCTTGTGGTTTGGACGTCTAAGAAGCAACCTGTTGTTTCCATGTCTTCTGCTGAAGCTGAATATAGGGCCATGAGCTAAGCTGTGGCTGAATTGGCTTGGCTGTCCCGTTTGCTTTCTGATTTGGGTTTGCATTCTCCTTCACCTATTCCTTTGTTTTGTGATTCTCAGGCTGCTATCCACATTGCTAAGAATCCAGTTTTTCATGAACGAACAAAGCATATTGAACTTGATTTCCATTTGGTGCAGGCCAAGCCTGCTGAGGGTCTTATTCATCTGCTGGATACCTCTTCTTCTTCTCAGTTGGCTGATATTTTCACCAAGGCTTTGGGTGGTGCTGCTCATTATGGTTTTCTCTCCAAGTTGGGAGTTTTGTCACCCTCCAACTTGAGGGGGGGGGGGTGTTAGAGATATACCACCCACTCCTGATTAGTATTAGGCCCACATTTTCTTTTGTTATTATTTGTATTGGGCCAGGCCCACTTTTCTTTTGTTTGTAATTATTATCTGAATTGGGTTAGAAGGGAGTCGGGTAATATATATATATATATATATATATATATATATATATATATATATATATATAT